TTTAAAAGGTTTAATTAAAATTAAAAAACAATATTGTGGGGCCTCCCTGGTCACACAGGGTATAAGTCTCAGCACTATCAAGCTATCATCAGCCACTGCAGCATGAGTTCCACCCCCAGCCAAGGAGTTAAGCCACATGGCATAGCAGACCTCTGTGCCTGCTGCTCTCCTCAGCAGTATATTTCAGTTCTGTTCACCACTCTCTCTGGTGAATCCTCTCACCTCCTGCATCTCTGACTACACCCCAGTTCTTGTATGTATAAAATAAATATCTCTTTAAAAATAAAAAAAAATATATTGTGGAAGGAAGTTAAAATAAGAATAGATGGAAGAGAAAGATACTTATAGCAAGAACCTGAAAGGGGATCAAGATTTTAATGATAAAATCACTAGTCTTTATTGAAAATTTTTTAGGCTGTGGATAAGCACTTTATGTGCAGCAGTATTATTCTTATTACTATTATTTGTACATTTACAATAACTGTCAGATAGCCATTTTTATTACCTCCACTTTACACATTTTTATTACCTCCACTTTACAGCACTTCCTCCACGTTAAAGCACATTGAGGCTAACAGGGGTTTGCTGCAGCTGTTGAGTGGCAGTGTCTGGGATTTGATCTCTGTTGTCAGATACTAGATCTATATTCTTAATCACGTGCTGAAGTGACTCTCTTTTTGCTCAGAACTTTCTAGTCACTCTCCATCTCCAAGCTGCAACAAAGTGAAAGTAAATACCATCATCAGGGCTGCTATTTTGGAGTCAGGAGCCTACAGTCCCTTTCAGAGGAAATGGCTTGGTCAGGACCCAAGGACACCCAATGAGGGGACTTTTGGAAAATCCACTAAGAAATAAGTAAATGGGCTTCTTCAGAGAAACAACAAAAATTTTTCAGCATACTTGAATCCTGAGGGACTCAAAAGAACTGTTGCTAACTCAAGAGGTGATAGTGTTGTGGTTAGGGACATGGATTTTCAGCCCAAGGTACACCATTTAACATGAATGTGACTTTAGTTACTCAATCTGTCTTCCTCTCTTTCTTTGAAGCCTTTGAAGCCTTTGAGAGATACCTACTGATAAGAAGAGTTCAATAAATGTTGGCCATTATTAAGCTTATAGTTCTCTTTTTCACTACCCCTAGCTGGCAGGTCTGCTGGACTGGAGAATACTGAGGGCTATTAGAACTCTAATAAGGATGTCTGGGGGCAGTACGCCTTATCTGTACTCCTTGATACTATCAGACTCCTTGCTTCTATATAGTAACAGAGCTAGACCTATCTCACCCTGGCTCAAATTCTTTACTCACAATATTCAATAACAGCAGCAACTAACATCTCCTGAATGTTTAGTAAATGCCAAGCACTTATAACAACTTGATATGTGGGTATTGTAGGTATCAGTCATTACAGGTAGAAGAAAATTAGAACTGTTTTAGAGTAGCAGAATTAAAAAAAATATAAAAAAGTATCTTGTCAATTATAGTGTATCTGAGTTTTAGTGAAACCTTCTGAGGTTTTGCTCTTTTTTTTTTTTTTTTTTTTTTAAGATTTATGTATTTACACAAGAACCAGGGTACAGGCCAGATGTGCGGAAGGGTGAGAGGAGTCACCAGAGACCGAGCAGCACACAGAACAGGCAAACTGACTGAAATACACTGCTGAGGGGAGCAGTGGGAGAGAGATCTGCCGTGCCATGGAGGTATCTCACAGCCGGTCAGGATAGAACCTGTGCTGCAGAGGCTGCGGGCAGTTTCACAGTGCTGTGCTCACCTGCCTGCGCCACCAGGGAGGCCCTCTGCTCTTTTTCTTGAATTACTTGAGAATAAAACTGGCAACAGAGACTGGAGCTACAAGCATATCACAGAATGAAAAACTGTGTAAAAGTATATTTATTGATATACAAATCCCAATTAGCATGAAAATGCTAGTTTTTACTGGAAGCATAATGACTGGATTAACACAGGCATTAATTTCTCCTTCCTCATTTGGGTCTTCATTTAACTAGTCAACCACAGGGAACCCAATTAGAGATGCAGGGGGATTCCTAAGAGTGAATGTGACCAAACTTGACATTACAAGTGCCTGCATTACTTCCTCTTATTCACTCCTTGCTAGAGATGCAGTAGACCTGGTTGGCATGCTTACATTACATGTGTCTTTCTTTAAAAAAAGATTTATTTATTTATGCATACAAGAGCTGGGATACAGGCCAGAGATGCGGGGGGTTGGGGTTGGGTGAGAAGATTCACCAGAGACAGAGTGGGGAACAGAACAGGCAGATTGGCTGAAATACACTGCTGAGGGGAGCAGCAGGCGAGACAGGAGAGGTCTGCTGCGCCATGTGGGTTGCTCCCTAGCAGACCAGGGATTGAACTCGTGCAGCAGTGGCTGCGGATTGCTTCATAGTGCGGTGCTTAACCCCTTGCACCACCAGGAAGGCCCACATGTGTCTTTTAGTTGAAGACCATTACTGCATTATTATTTAGATGGTATGTAAATAAATTATTGCTGCAATAATGCTGTGTAACAAATGGTTCCAAAATTCAGTGACTTAAAACTATAGCATTGATTTAACTCTGGACAGGTATCGCTTTAGGCTGGTTTTAGCTATGCTTACTCATGTTTCTGAAAATTGGCTGGCTATCAATTCCTGGGCTGGCTTTGGCTGGGAGGACTGTGGAGACTCGGCACTGCCTCTTAGATCTCTGATCTCACTTCAGACTAGCCTGAGCATGTTCTTGTGTTACGGTGGAGATGCAGCAGAGAGAACAAGCTCTATCATGCAAGCACTTTGTAAGACTTTGCCTTGTAGCATCTTCTAACATTTTATTGGCTAAAGTAAGCCACGTGACTCACATATATTCATGTGGTTGGGAAATAGAGTAAATTCTAGAGACAGAAACCGATCTGATATCAGGGAGGGTAATTGATTAGCATCATCATTCAATCTTCACTGGTGTCTTTTTCTTAACAGAAACTATATTCTCAAAAACATTTTTAAAATTAAGTTTTTATTTTATTTAAAATTATATATATACATAAAAGAGTCAAATGGTTCTTAAACAGTCTTCTAGTATTTTCAGCTCTTTAGCTGTTTCTTTTGTTATCAGCCTCCAAGACTCTTAATAATATGTGCATTGCTACTTCTTGACCTCCATTTTAGGCATCATCTATTGACTTCTTACTAGGGTAGATAAAAATTTACCTCCTCTCCATTGACCTCTCTCATCTCTCACCAGGTACATGCAGCCTTGCAATGATCTTTCCTTTTCAGTACTGTTTTATAGTTTTGTATAGGTTATTTCTCAGTATTTAGATTATGGAGACATTATCATTATTCATAGTTGATCCAAATAGTAAACTGTGGTTGGGTCCCCATTAAAAGGTGCCTTAGACTTGTGGCAGGTTTTTGGGCCTCAGTGGCCCTGCTTTGGGCCAACCCTGATTGGGGGGGTATAGGGTCAGGAATGGGCCACTGAGCAGGTTTTCTGATCCAGCAGACAGGGTAAAGGAGGAGTCAGAGTCCTCAGTGGTTTTTGCAGGTCTTTTATTGCGATTTACCCGGTACAAAGCAGGCAAGGGTGCTGGGGGGCCGGGAGGCTGGCAGGCCTCCCAGCCCCCAGCAAGTCTTCACTCTATCTGGGCTCTCTGGTGATCTCTCTCTCTCTCTCTCGGCTTCTCTTTTGGCTTTTTCTGCTTCTGCTGGCATCCCCGTGATGCCTCCCTTAAAAGCACAGTCTTAGCCCAGATGAATCCCATCTACCTAGGCCCACACCCTATTCCAGGTGCCCGCCATCAGGCATGCATTCAGGACCGCAAGGATCCATCATCTATCTTGATGGTGGGAGGGCAGAAAAGCCTGACATTTTTCCTTACCCTACACTGGGTGTTTATCCAGGAGGGGACAGGTAACTTTGGGTGCATGATTTGGAAACTTAACTTTTTTTTTTTATTTAATAAATTTTATTTTTATATTCCCCATACAATTGCAACCCCCCCATTCTGATCCCAATCCCTCCCAGATTTGGAAACTTTTTTGCCTTTTCTTTGTTGCACACAAATTGTATTAAAATTTCTTTCCATTAAAGGTCTTACACACTAGAGTATGTTTTATCTTGATGCAGCAGATGGCAGAACCTATTTAGAGTGGGCAAATCTAGGGGTTCTGGGGTGCCCCTTACTCTGCCCTGTAACAGTCTTTAACAGTCTTTTCCTCCTGTAGCCTTAGCCTTCTCTGAGTAACGCCGCCTTTATAGCCCTGACCTCTAGGTTCAGGCGTGCACACTTGTACATGCGCGCATACCCCTATCAGGCACGCCTGCCCCATACCCTCTATGTTAACACGATCAGGACTGCAGGTGATAGCCATGGAGGCCAATGGCATAAAAGCCTGATCATCTTCATTTACCCTACACTTACATTATATAGATATACCACCTTTGTTTTTAAATCCACGAACATACTCGCTGGAGAATATTTGGTATTTATCTACTGTGATGCTTATGAATGCCCCATTAACATTTGTGTGCAGTTGTGTATGTGTGTGAAAGTAATTTTTTCTTTCTCTAGGGTAAATACCTAGACATGGCATGCTAGATCACGTTGGTAAACGTATGGTTAATTTTTTTTTTAATCTTCTGCCCAAAAGTCATTATCGCTTCTATTTGGTCCGTGGCTTGGGAGAGGATCCCAGGATGTAGCTGCAGCAGGGAGAGACTTGGGCTGCAGCAGCCCACAAAGGTTGGAGGTCCCTAGTGCTAGAGGGTGCGCCTTTTGAGCTACTAACTCAACTCAGCTGGGAGCCCACAGCCTGCGGCTATTCACGTGGCTGCTCATCTTCTTAAGGAGTTTTATCTGCGCCTCCCAGGCGTGGCTCTTCTGGAAGATTCGGAGATGGCGTCTGCAGACACACAGCCTGGGTATGCAGATGCTGATGGCCTGGGTCAGGTTCTACTTGGCGTCTCGAATTTTACCCCCCTAATCTCAGGGCGTCTTCCTCAGGTACTGGAAGAACTGATGGCTGCCATGCTCATTTTACACGTTCCAGAATCGCTGGGCCCAACCGGCAACAAGTGGCGTGAGGCCTCCAGAATCACAAGGTTCTGGTGGAGAGAGGTAAGCAGGAGGGCCTGCCGATGCGGGTGGAAGGCAGCCTCCAGGCCTTGGGAGAATTGTGACAAAACTGGGATTTCTTGGCTGGTGAGCAGTCAGGTGAACCACGGCGCCTGCTGGCTGGTTCAGAGGCGAGAAGGTGGTCTCAGGAGGTTGCGCCTGGAGAAACGGTTAGAGAATGGTGGGCTACGGGACCCCTGGTGGCACCCGAAGTCGGGGGGCACGGCGTGTGTGTTTGATTGTAAGAGAAACTTCCAAACCGTTGCCAAAGTGACGCGGTCTGGTTTCGGATTTTCACCAGAAGTAGAGGAGTGCTCAAGATGCCCGGTACTTGGCTTTAATGTGGTTTCCCTGATAACTAGCGATGTTGGGCATCTTTTCCTGGGCTGCTTTGCCGTCTCTGTTTCCTGTTTGACAAAATTGCCTGTTGAGGTGTTTTAACTGGATTGTTTTCATGTTGCTGGGTTTTGGAAGTTTTCTCCATTTTTGAGATAAGTTATTTTTCAGATTTGTGATTTGTAAGTATTTCTCTCAGTTGCTTGTCTTGTCACTCTCCTACCAAGGGCTTTCAGAGAGCTAATGTGTAAATTTTGATGAAAGCCCATTTATCAGTTATTTACTTTATGAGATGTACTTTTTTTTTTTTTTAAAGACTTATTTATTTATACAAGCACTGGGTACGGTCAGAAGTGTGGGAGGGGAGGGTGAGAGAATTCACCAGAGCCAGAGCGGGGAGCAGAGCTGGCAGAAGGACCGAGGTGCACTGCTGAGGGGAGCAGCGGGCGGCAGGAGAGGTCTGCGCACCATGCGGGACCCTCCTCTGGTGGCTGGGGAACAGCCGGGGATCGAACCGGCGCTGCAGAGGCTGAGGGCAGCTTTGCAACCCAGCGCTCAACCGCTGCGCCACTGGGGAGGCACCCATGAGATGTACTTTTATTGTTAAAAAATACTTAGTCTAACCCAAGGTCACTAAGGTTTTCTTATTTATTTTTTTTCATGTACTCTCTCATTACCTAGTTAGTGTTTTTTTGTTTTAATATATTTTAAGAGGATAGGCTTATCAGGGACAGGTGAAAGAAAAAGGGGCACCTGTGTAATTATAGGCCGGCAGGAGAGTTGCTAGTTAGTTTTTGAATCCTCTTGTGCTTATAATTTACTCCATAATCAATGATTATATTCTAATTTCCTCTACTTTTCCTAAAATTTCTAGAAGCATGCTTCTACTTTGTTAAAAACTAAAGCAGCCTTTCCAAATATAAGACTTAAAAAAAAAAGTTGTTTTGGTTATGTCACTTCAGAATTTTATTTTAAAGACACTCAAAGGCTAGATAATGAAGTGCTGCAAGCTGAAAAATCTATCAGATGAATGAGATGAAAGAGAAAGTAGAAAAAGCGAAAAGACAAAAGTAAATTTTTCAATTTGTTACAACCACTTAACAGTAATGTAACTATTCAGTTAACTTTATGTTAACCTGTTAATTATGCAAAATAACCATTCAGAGTTATTTCTTTACATAAATAATGTAATTTCTAGATTTTTAAATCTAGATTAATGTAATTTAATGTAATTAAATTAATGTAATTTAATGTAATATAATTAATGTAATTTCTAGATTTTATTTAAATTTAGAATACATTTATTATAAGAAAACAGACAAAACACTGTGATATTGGCTTAAGTGATGTCTTTGGGGATTGGATTTAGGTCCTTCAAGTTTGGAATATTTTTTATAATTTCATTCATAATTTCACCTGCTTAATTTCTTATTTCATGCTGGAATTTTTATTCAGCTATTGAATATTCTCAATCCTGTAATTTTCTTCTTTAGCCTGGTATTTCATACTTTTTCGTTCCATCCCTCCTTTCCTGGTATTTTTTTTTTTTTAAGCTTAACCTCTCATCTTCAATCTTTTTTATTAAATCTTAAATTAGATGGTCATATTTTAAATTCCAAGCCTTAATTTGGATTTTTCCTTCCATTGCTATTTTAAAATAAAACCTTGTTCTTGTTTTATGGAGGTAATATCTTTTATTTTTTAAAAATAAAGTTCTTTGACATTTTTACTTCTCTGTACCATCTCAGTCACCTCCAAAATACTTTTTATCTTGGTTTACTTAGCTTTTTGTCTTTTGTCTGAGAGTTTTGCCGTAACAGTTCAGCCATCTTTAATTTCGCTGTTGGATAAAAGTGACGCTAAGAAACTGCAAGCTGTTAGTAGTTTCTTGGTATGTGATGAATATGGGCTCCTTAGTAGGAGATTATAATTTGGTTGTTTTTATTAGCAAAATGCCTTATACTGTAATCATTGAGTGTTCTTTTGGGGGCGAGAGATGGTCAGATTCCTCAGAGGAAAAAAAATTCCAATCCATACAGCCATGAAGTGAATGAACTACTAATTCTGATAGCATGGATGAATTTCACAAGCAATGCTGACTGAAAGATATACTGAAACTTACACTATGCTTGTCTATTTATATAGTTCAAAGTTGTGTAAAAAACTAATGTATTGCTTTTGACTACATACATAAGTGGTACAAATTTTAAAAACAGGTCTTACTTTTGGAATTCTCTGAAAGCAGAAGAGAGACTAGGAAATAGGACCAGGCAGTAGGGCCATTAGGAAGATAAGGAAGACCAGCCAATAAGTGTGTGGGAAGCAACAATTTGTGATTCACCAGGACCCCTGAGGAATGCTTTCCAGATTATCTGTCTGGTGGACAGGAGGTGGAGGTACATATATCCATAAGCTTCCATTCTCAGTTGATGGAAGGCTGGTTATCTGGGTGTGTTAACTTCTCCCGTGTTTATGTGTGGATTGAGCGGGCTTGGAGAGGCCAGCCAAGCACTACATATGAAGCAATGTCAGCATAAACTGGGCTCACATCTGCATGTCCAATGGAATGGGGATTGCAGTCAGTGGTGGGCTGAGGAATTGTGGCACAGCACACAAAAATATCTGCCTTAAAAGGCAAGATCACATTTAATAGCAGACAATATGGGGGTCTCCCTGGTGGCACAGGGGGTTGAGCACAGTGCAGCTCTGTGAGGCTGCGATTCCCAGCCGGCCAGGGAGATTCCCACATGGCATGGCAGACCTCTCCTGTCTCACCCGCTGCTCCCCTCAGCAGTGTATTTCAGTCGATCTGCCTCTTCTGCTCCTCACTCTGTCACTGGTGAATCCTCTCACCCTCCCACGCCTGTGGCCTGTACCCCAGCTCTTGTATAAAAATAAAAAATAAATCTTTAAAAAAGGGAAGTGCATAGCCATACAGGTCCACATCAATAAACCAAAAAGATCTCAAACAATTAAATTAAAAAAAAAAAAAAAAGACAATATGGCATTACCTCTAGCAAGGAGAGAAAGAATTCTGATGGTAGAGCTATAAATTGAGGAGGTGGGGTCTTTTTTGGGGAGCGGTAATGTCTCTTGATTTTACGTGCAGTTATATAGATAGCAATTCTCTAAAGGATATATATTTAAAAAACATTCTTTTGTAATTAATTATAGAGGAAACTAAAATTATAGAGGAAACTAAACTAAACAGTAGCCTCAAAGGCCAAGCATTTGGCCTCATTTGTATATTCAAATTATGCATGATGAGGCAGGAGGGCATTGAAAATTTTATTCAATGAGGAGACAGGAAAAAAAGTGATGTAAGATAGACTTTTAATTATAAGGATGGATTGAAAGAAAGATGGATAACATGGGAACCACTTAGGAAACTATATAGTTTAAATATTTGGTAATAACTATGAATTTGTGTGATGACAGGAGCATGTAATGCAGATCAGTTTCCTTGATGGAGATATCAACAGGTATCTGTCTGAGACTTTAAATCTCACTCCGTTCTTTAGATAAAACTGATGAAACCATTTGTTTGCCAGCACAGTTCTTTGTCCCTTGTACGCATTGTGCTTATAACTGTTTTCTCTATGAATTGGAAATACTATATAGGTCTGGTTCTCTCTTTTAGGGTAATCCTTGAGGGGAGAAATTGGTTTCTGATATAAAAGTTGCTTAATAATGTTTACTGAATTAATGAATAAATGAGTGAATTAATGCAGGAGAAATACTTGTCTTTGTGAATCCATGTGCATATTGAATCTATGTGCATATTTATTGCATTAATGAAGGATTTGGCTAATGCTAATACCTAGCTGTATAGGAAATAGGAAAATAGAATGATTAGCAGTAGAGATGATAATTTAAAAAAAACTGGCTTTTGCCTCTCCCACAAAATAGCAAAGCTGTGTTCCTCGACTTGTACTGTCAGGCTACTGTACAAATATGACTAATGTTTCTTGCTGCTCTTTTGACCTTGCTGCTCTTTTGACAGCAAGAATGAATTTTTACAGACTTTTATTCTTTATGGTGAAATTGAGTTCACCTTTCTCTTTTCTCCTGTGAATTTGCCTTTCTCCTTCTCTTAAATCTAATGAGCCCTATAGGGGGTGCTAAGGGATTTCAGTACCTTAGACCTAATAAGTTTACTATTTGTTGAACGTAAAATCATCACTACCATATAGCAAATGTCACAGTAGTTCTATCAATAAGTATTTGTTAAACACATGCGTGAATGATTCAGGCATTTTTTTTTGGGGGGGTTACCCATTTTAAGTGATTTAGTATATAAGAAGTATCTGCAGGCAGGAGCAGCAGCCATGAGCACTGGGGCACTGTGGAGGCACCCGGTGCCAGTCAGATCAAATGCTGTATCTGGGAGCATAGTCTCAGAAGTTACCCAAGACCAATGTCCCGAAACTGAAAAAAGGGAAAAAATACTTCTCAAAAATGATGCCAAAGAAAATTATTTCATAATCCATTTTTTCTTTGTTTGCAGATGTCAGAATGAACAGGGTAAGCAAATAGGAAAAAAAGCAGCTTATGCTTTGTTCTAGCAGGGTGATAGTGCTATCTGGGATAAGATCAGCAGCCTTAAACTTCAATTTTTCACATGGTAGTGATTTAGAGCTGAAAAGAATACATAAAAATGGTTTTCTCCCATCAACATTACCCAGAGACTCCCTCCCTCTCCCCCACTCTACTTTCTTACTGATCTCATGACTATTTGAAAAGAGAAGGGTAGTTAGTAAAAGGAAATGGGATATAAGAACAGAAGGTGAAGTGATATAACTTGAAAAAATCTACATGTTAAAGCAGTTTTATTGATACAGAACTCTTCACAGTGTTTTAATAGATGCAACATTAGGGAACTTAAACTACATAGATTAAAAATACCTTCTCTTACTAAAGTGAGTTAATTATTCTATAAAGAGAAGCTACTGAATTTTTGGATAACTTCATTCTTCATGGTAGAAATGATGCTGAAAACCTTTGTGGTGTAGTATAATTAATATAATTACTTATAGTTTATTTTAAACTCTCCACATAACATTTCCTTTTGCTTTATGTCAAATTTTTATTTGGCCAGGAGACCAATCAGTCAAATTGAAACTAGATTGCAACTTTCATTGTAGTTTTCCTTTGCAAGCAACAAAAGTCACCATTTTCTCCCCTTAATAAGGGAAATGAGTTTTGCTGAGGATGGGAAAGATGTAGGGGAAAGGGCAAGAGGAATAATTTTTATTTTGTCTTGGGAGATGGAAACAGGGCAGATGAACCTGTGTCATAAGTATTATGGTTTCCTGTGCATTCAGTACTGATATAGAGACTCCTGATGGTGCCCAAGACAGCTGCTCACCCAGTCTCCCTTCTTCTCATCTACCCTTTCGTGCAGGAAGGGCAAAGCAATTGACATGTCTCTTCTCTAGGCATATGATGCTTTCTTCTCCCCCATCTTGACTCTTCTGACCCTTCATTCCCTTGCTTCAAAGGAGGGACAAAAGATTGCTTTGAAGGTTAAATAGCATTTCATCATATGTGCAAAAATGGAAAGGTGAAGGATATGTTGGCATGAGATGGTGGAACAGTATGTCTACATGTACAGTCATGCAGGTAGATCAGGTTTGGTCAAATGGGATTTGTAAGAGAATAAAGGTTGAATTCTGATTATCAACTGAAATCGTAAAAAAGATTTTGTAAACTGTAACTGTTTTCTAGAGTTTGTGTCAGGACTGTTCTAAGATTGTTTCTATATGCAACATGTTGTAGTTGCTTTGTGTGGTGTGAAAGCTTTATATAAATGTCATAATCATGTTTTGGAATTAGATTGTATGTCATCATGGTGACATGGTAGAGTATCTGCTGATTTCTCTCGATCTGTATGTTTTGCATTGTTTGTGTATGAAGCAGTCAGGCTAATTTACATTTTAATCCTCTTCAGATTTCTATATTGTAATATATTTTAGTATCCATAAAAATATAGTAAACCTGGTTACTTCTCAGTAGTCCACTTCACTAGTGTATATTAAAAATCTTGGATTTCTTCCTCATCTTCCTCATTTAGTACTTTTTAAGAATTTTAAATATTGTAAAAGCACCTGCTTTGCAGCTGAAGTAACTTTTCACAGGAAGCAGGCAAAATTGCCCAGATGTGAAGATGATTGTTGATTAAATATTTAAGTGGGGAATTATTAGAATTAGTTGCTATTTTTTAATGTAGTCAGATACAAAGAGAAAATGCAAAAACCTGAATCCATAAGTTTCTTGTACTCCAGGCCCAAGGAGAGATCGAGATGTGCTTATGTATTCAATGAAAAGGGTTTCATCACCTTCAAAATCTTACCAATTCCCTTAAGAAATCATGAGCAGGGCCTCCCCGGTGGCGCAGCGGTAGAGCGCTGGGTTGCGAAGCTGCCCGCGGCCTCTGCAGCGCCGGTTCAATCCCCGGCTGCTCCCCGGCCACCAGTGGAGGGTCCCACATGGCGCGCAGACCTCTCCTGCCACCCGCTGCTCCCCTCAGCAGTGTACTTCGGTCCTTCTGCCTGCTCTGCTCCCCGCTCTGGCTCTGGTGAATTCTCTCACCCTCCCGCGCTTCTGACTGTACCCAGTGCATGTATAAACAAAACAAACAAACAAGCAAACAAATAAATAAAGAAAAACATGCCTCTATTAAAAAAAAAAATCTTTAAAAAAAAAAAAGAAATCATGAGCAGGTGACTGGGTAGATGCCTGGCCATTTCTTACCCTTTTTGTTCTCAGCTAAGCACATATTAGCTGGTCTGCAGAGGTGTGGATCTGCCTTTCAATTGCTTATGCTCATGATATCTTCATCCTCAAGGAATTTTAACCCTCTGGAGCTAAAATCTCAAACATGGCCATTTATGGAGAGACATATATAAAGCCCATTTGGGGGAGTTTTCTTGAACAAAAGAATAATCACCTGTAACATTTATTAAAGAATATTTCACTTGCATAACAAAAAAGTTTAAACAATTTTCCAGTTCAATATTTCCTGGACACCTCACAGACAGTTGGCTCTGAGGAAATAGGTATCTTCCTTCTGGTTAGATTATGAAGGAACAAAACGTCAGTCCTGAGAAAGAAAAAACAGTTCTGAGAATCAGAACTAAAAGTCAACTATCTTCAAGGAGTTAACATCCTTTTTCTTAACTTTCTGACCTTTTTGCCAAGGATGGTATATATCAGATTGCTTCTGTGGTATTTGTGAATTTATAAATGTTAAAACTAAGAATTGAAGACGGAGAGTTACAAAGTCCCTGTTTCATCTCTTTTGTTCTTTGAAATTCAGGTGCCCAAGATACTAAAAAATACTTTGTCTGGATGCTTTGAAGATAATGTTGGGGTCTTCCCAACAGAAGAGTGTTTTCTCTTCTCTTCCTGCGTATGGAAAGAAATGCTTACCCACCCTTGTCTTTGGGCCCTGAATCCTAGTCAGAAAAAAGAATTAAAAAACCGATAAAATGAAGCTCCAAGATGACCACATCACATCTCCCTGCAATTATGCCGGAGGAAAAGGTCAGGCTTATGGGAACAATTTGATAGTCTTTGTGCTGAGGCTTTCTGAAGCTGGGTCAGAAAAGACTATTCTCTTTCATTTTGTTCTCTTTGAGGAACAAAAGGGCATTAAGCATCATGGGCAAAGTGCACTTGGGCTGGTGTCTGAGAGGAAGAAGTTGGAACACAGGGCAGAGGAAGAGGATGGGAGAGCAGGGAAGAAGTACTTTCTGGAGCTCTTTTGAGGTGCACACTGGCAGGCATTACTAAGACCAGAACAGTGTTTTTGTTTGTGTCACAGTAAGGTCTTCCTTTGAGTGTTGTTTTACATGTCTCTTTTATACTTTCGTAGTTTTCCACTACTGATGGGAAAATTAAGGGGATTCCTTTGCGACTGGGTCATGAGTCTTGCTTTTCTGTGGCAAGCCCCTTTACTTCAGCAGAATGTACCCCTTGATCTCTATATGACTGGGTGGCTGGGGAGAGTCTCCCTGCCTTGGAGCAGTTGATTTTTATCTTATCAGTACTTTACTAGGAGACCTCTGGGTCCCCGGAGGCAGGTATGGTGTGATGGGGCGCATCATGGGGTTGGGCAATCTTGAAGGAGCAGAATGAATATTGGGGTGACCTAGGAGGCAGACAGGTGCAAGGACAGAGTAATCTGGTTGCCTTAAACCTATCCAGGCTCAATGACTGAACAAGAAGGAAAGTGTCCAAAAGAGAGGTAGCTAACATAATAGTTACTCTGAGTGCTCTTTATAGTTATCCTCTTAGGGCCTCCCTGGTGACACAGGCAGTTGAGCGCAGCACTATGAAGCTGTCTGCAGCCTCTGCAGTGTGGGTTTGATCCCAGCCGGCTGGCGAGAATCCCACATGGTGAAGCAAACCTCTCCTGTCTTGCCCGCTGCTTCCTTCAGCAGTGTATTTCTTCAGTCTGCCTGTTCTGTTCTATGCTCTGTCTCTAGTGAATCCTCTTACCCTCCCTCACATCTGGCCTATACCCAGATTCTTGTATAAAAAAATAAATAAATCTTAGAAGAAAAAATTATCCTTTCATAAAGGAAATCACTGTTCAAAATTATAAGTTGATGCTTTTTTTTTTTTTTTCCAAAAGCACTTAAAAAAAATGTCATCTACCACTCATGGTCCTCAAGTCTGACCCTGGAGCAGATGTCCTTGGGAAACTGGGATCTTTCTTTGCTGCAGTATCTTTTCCAATGAACGGGGACCATTCAGTGTCCCGTCAGACCATCTTCTGAATGATCCTTAGTGGTAGGTGAATCCTGGAAAAATCATGAATAGTCCCAAAGTGTAGAAATTTGTATCAATGAGAATATATGTGTTACATATGTGATGTATTGTACTATCCTTTGAAAGGAACTCTGGTTATATGATAGCATGCTTTTCAAAAAGCTTTTTTAGAAAGATACTAAACTTTCACATACAGATAATAACTATGTCACACAAACTCCAGGCAGTTTAGTAAATAAAGTATAATATTACACATTTGTATTTGTCAGGCAACTAATCGGCATATAATCCCATATAGTCAGGAGCAATGGAGACATAGATATGGCAAAGGTTATAACTCAAAAAGGATTTGGGAATCACTGAGCCATTGGGTAAAACTTCTGCAGATTTTCAACTTTTATTTTTGTCAACTCTATTAAAGAGCTGAATTAAAATGTTGTGGATAACTCACTTTATTGGGCTACTTCAATTTATGAAAGATATTTTTTTCATATGAATAAAACATCTAATCTGGCTAAACTCTGCAGTATAATTAGAAATGTTTCTAACATATGATTTCATCTTTTTGAAAAGTATGCCAGAGTTAAACAGAGTGCAGAGGATATACTCATATGAAAATAATGCAATATAATACATTTTATTTTGTTTTTTTAAATATTTATTTATGCATACAGTAACTGAGGTACAGGCCAGAGATGTGGGGAGTGAGAGGATTCACCAGAGACAGAGTGGGGAACAGAACAGGTAGATTGACAGAAATACACTGCTGAGGGGAGCAGCGGGCAAGACAGGAGAGGTCTGCTGTGCCATGTGGGTCATCTCCCTGGCCTGGGTTCGAACTCATGCTGCAGTGGCTGCTGATGGCTTCATAGTGCTCTGTTTTAACCCCTTGTGCCACCAGGCCCTAATACAATACATTTTAATGAATTTAAATCAAGTAAAAGCAAAAGTTAATCTGATGACAACATGATGATAACTTTGCTCAAAATACCAGTAATAGATATAATTTATAGATTATTTTGATGCAGTAGTTAGACTCCTTGGGCATATGTAAGATTGTAGAGGTAATTGAGTTGGTAGTTTTGTAGACTGACTATAATACCTAGAGAGTAGGAGCTTGTCCCTGCTTGTAAAAAACCAGTGGATTTTACTCTAGTTTAAAGAAATGGTACAAATTTTGCATGACCTTGACTAAGATTTTTAGGACAGTTGATATTGAGATATGTCCTTATTTCAGTTTTTGTAAATTAATTTAGAACAACTTAGAGATGCCAATAATATCTTGGTTCTTCTGAGAAATATATTCTCTTTGTTTACATATCTGTCACTAAAAAAAAAGCAATGCATTTAAAAATCAGCACTGATAAGTGGAAATGGAGTCATGCTGTCTGGCAAAAATAAGAAAAGAGCAACGTCTTAGAAACTGACTTTGTGGTTAAGGCGGTCTTTTAAGTCTCACCGGAAGTTAATTAAAATGAACTTTTTTTTTCACTTTTAAAGTTTATCATCTTTGAGTTTACTCACTTAGTGGCAGATGCCAGAGAATTCCCCAATCCATGGTACTAATTGAAAAACAACTCTTCAATCTGGATGAGAGCTCGGACATTGCAAAAATCTCTGTTTAGTAGGATTAAAGGGTTTGCAATCTAAATATCTTGATTTGGAAGAAATGTGAAGAATTTCAAGGTTTCCATTCTTAAAACCATGAACAAGGGACCAGACCAGGCTGAGCTTATTTCTCCAAATTCTTTTGGAGCTCAAAGTGTGTGGTGACTAGGATGCCTCTGGGGTGATATCCAGGGGTTATGTATATGTAATCTGAGTATATCCTTATTTTAAAAGCATGTATATTAGTTCATATCCTGATTCCTTCAGGGAACATCAGTTTGCTTTGATCAGTAAGTCTCAAGGTCTGTGATATTTTTCCTGGCTAGCCTGGTGAGCAAGCACTTCGACTCCTGTCCTGCAAAGATAACACGTCTGGTGGAGATGACTATCTCTGTGTGGGCTAGTTTACCAGCAGTTACTTCACCTTGTGCATTTTCAGTGTTTGTTTTCATGTGCCACAGACAATATTTGCAGCTATTGTCTTTCTCTTCTCAAGGTTACTTCAGACTTTTCTCAAAACAGAATAGCCTGTGTAATAGAGATTTACCCATTGCTAACAAGTGTAGCAAGTTGGAGATAACCCTAATGCTCCTTTGAAGGGTTTTCTTCTTTTTTTTTTCTTTTAGCCTCTAGTAGTTAATCTATCACCTTACAGTGTCCCTGATTGAATCATAAAATTGATGACACCCTGGAGAAATCTCTGAATAATACTCATTTTAGCGAAGCACCAGAATTTCTCCCCCCTAAGGAACAGCCAGGCTGTGAAGAGTGAACTACTGATTTTTCACTCCAACTTCAGTGGGTTAGACTGGCAAAAGCTGGAACCCTGGGCAATGTCCTCAGTACAAGAAGAATCCCTTGAAGTCAGAGAAGTCAGGGAAGATTAAAGATATGCTGGTCCCACTTCAACAAATAAAGGAGAAAATTACAAGCAGAGTTAGTAAAGCCAAAAATCTTGCTTAAAAAATTTTAAAAATGATTGTAATGTGGAGACTGATGCTTGAGTAAAATTCATTTTGCAAAGACTTGTTTGGGATTTTGAAATTTAATCATTTTCAGCTGTAGAACAAATGTTCAGCTCACATAAGCTGACTTCATATATTTTACAGATTTTTCCCCCTTGCCCTTTTTATTTATTTATATATTTATTTGTTTGCATTTCATGGTGCATTGTGACCACATGTCTCTAATTCACCTTCCATCTCTGGTGGTATAGCAGTGAATTATAGTGTGGTAAAGGAAGGAGATTGGACTTCAGTTTAATACCTGAGTTTTGATACTGGTTTTTAAAATTACTAGTGTGTGACTCTGACAAATAGCATCAAGTCTTTCCATCTCAGTTTCCTCATCAATAAAATGGGATAACTATAAGGCACCTATAATTTTTTTATCTGTGACATAGGAAACTCTCTATGTGGTAGCTGTTTTTGTAACCATAATTACTGTTGTGAATGAAGGTGAGCCTAAACTGATATTAAAAACCACATTTAGTGAGTTTTTCTATTAGATTAAAAGAAATAAAATCTTATGGGCGATATGGAACAAGGATGTACTGTTTAAAATCAATTTAGTACTCTAATTTGACATATGTATCATATTATGCCATGTATCTTCACTCTCAAGCTCATCTGTGTTCTAGTGAATTAAATAATGAATCTCTTTGGGTGTGAGTGAAATTTTCCAGAGGTTCTTCTCTAAAAGTAATTAATATGAAGATAAATTTTATATCTTTTTCTTTTATCACTAGCTTGGGGATCATCTGGGGTCCTTATGGCCTCTTAATTTTCTTCTGGCTTCCCTGGGGGGCAGGGTGTGTGTGTGTGAATCTGCCTACCTGGTACTTGATGATAATGGGAAGGAAAATTTTCCCTTTTGCTCTATTTATGCTAAGACATCAGTTAAGAAGCTTGTGTAGTTTTGAATCATTTCAAATACCTTCTCATAAAGGTATGCCACCACTTGGGAGAAGTATAATTTCTTTAGAAAATCCTTAATTTTGTTTACGTTCATGTTGACCAGTTACTTTGTAGGGTCACTTATTTTTTTATACAATCAAAGTTATTCATATTTAACCTTCATATTTCATTCTTTGTTACTGTTTTGAAATAAGCAAACACTTGCTGACACATGTTTCTGTCACATTCTTTGCTTTCCCTAATGGGCAAGTTCAGACTCAGAAGACAAAAGTCCAGTGGAAAGTACCGGAACTGAGGAAAGGATATTTGCCTAACCACCCACATTACTGAATGCTTTTTTGGGAATCTGCTATGTGTAAGATGATGTCCTACCCACATGCATGTAACCGTTGCCTTACTGAAAATCAAATCCGATTCTACAAGGAAGTCAGAAAAAAAAAATATTTTTCTCTCAAGTTAAACCAGATTTGTTTAAAACAATCATGCTAGTTTTAAAAATTGTAAACTGTCCCACTATAAGCATATAACCATTCATAGCTTTTTTTCAAAAAACATTTATTCAAGTTGACTTTGCTACCTCAGTTTTTAGAGAAGATAATAGAGGTTTTATTTATAAGAAAAAATTTAAGGACAACTAAGAGCTATAAGTTAAATGTGTGTGTGTGTGTATTTTATCATTCCTCAGTAGCTTTTAGGCAATCCAGAACTCGAACTTTATTTGCTATAGTTGTCTCTGACCTCTGACTTGCTCATCCATGGACTCTATAGCAAACAATACTTGATCAATCTATGACATTTCACTGAAACAGCCTTTTAACTGTGGAGATTGCTGCCTTTGATTTCCCTGACACTGTTTGTATGTCCTTGTTCTTGTCTTTCTGACCATTCTTTTTTTTTTTCCAGTCTCCTTTACTTCCTCTTTTAACTTTACTAATTTCTTAAAATTGGTTTTTCCCTGGGGTTCCATTCTTGACCCCTTTGTTTCTATATGCATTCCCTGGGCTTCTTTACTAACTGTGATTCCACGTATCATGGAGACCCTGATGAACCCACGATATTAATCTCCAGTCCTGCCTACCTGCCCTGGACAACTAACTCAATATTTTGCAGATGCCTTAAATTCCAAGTGTCCACAGTACAACACATTTTCTTTCTTTCACCACTGTTCTAAGACCTGTTTTTCTTCATTTTTTTTTTTTTTTAAATCTTGCTGCATCATCACCTACCATCAGAACTTACCAAAATCTTCTGTTAAGTTAGGCTCTGCCAGACTCCTTCCCTCCAGGAACTTTGCTCATGTTCTTTTACTACCTGGAACATGTAGCTATACTTTCACTTAGTTAACACCATCCTCCTCATCTTATGCTAATTCCTCTGAGAAATTCTCCCATTTATTTCTTACAAACTTTCTAAAAACTCTTTTTGCCTTCATAGAACTTTACTGTATCCTAAAGCAATATATACACTTGAGTGATTATCCAATAAAGGAGTATAATT